GAAAGAGAGAAAGGCAGACAGACAGAAGGGGAGGAGGAAAAAACTCCTGCACACCGAGCCCTGAGATAGGATGAAAATAAAAGTCTTTCCCATAAAAGTCAGCAGCTCCAGTTGAATTTATCCAGAAATTGTGATGAAATCTGCTGTGGGAGATGGGAAAAGAAGAAGTGGATTATTTCTGGGGAGGCTTTGGTGAGTCAGTGAGCTGAGCACGGCTGACACCTGTCAAGGGTTTTGGGGCTATAATAGGGGAGCATTCAGGAAGAAAGGGTGTCTGCTAACGAACACAGGAGGATACATATGGTGCACAGTACATGTGTGTATGTACATCTGTACGAGTACATCTACTTGTCTGTGTGATTGAATATGTAATACTTCTGAGAGCAGTAGAAAACATTTCCATGTTTCTTCCTCTCATAAGCGACTGCCTGCACTGCTATGGGAACATCCTGCACAGTGCCCTGCAGCCCCCTTTCTCTCGGCACGGGTTGATGGTTTGCTGCAGATGAACAAGGCCTCAGTGGCTGACCTCTCTCAGCCCTCTTTGCACAGCTGCTGAGCCCCTTGTCATGGCTGCTTGCCATACATTCTCAATAGCTAGGGCAAGCACTTCATTGTTTTTGGCCCTTGTGACACAGTGAGGCTCCAGCACACCTCCCAGGGAGTTGTTTATATCACACAGGCCCATATGGACAATCTGCTTTTCCCCCACTATTTTGGTGAATGAGCCAAGAGACCCAGAAATGAGAGTGAGGTCTGGAAGTTTCCATGAGATGGGTTGGGGGTTAGGGGTGAAATGCTAAACCATATCTAATTGAATAGGTTTGTGCTGAGAAAATGCATCATTAAGTCACCACACAGCATCATGAGGACTTATCAGTCTAGATGTACAACTATTCAAAATGTTCTAATTATGGGCTATGTTTGCCTCGGCTGACAAAGGAAAGACAGAGTAGCTGCGGGACTTGGTTGATGCTAAGCTTTCCTGTGAGAATCTTGCTCTGTCCTGACAAGAATGATTCACTTCCTGAAGGACTGGTGCTGTGCCAGACTGCTTTTTCAAGGACAAACAGCACACTAACCCACTTTTTTAAATGACTGAGAGCTCAACCCTGAGATTCTAGGTGCTTTTATAAGAGTTGTTTATGTTTTGTAAGGCTTTGGAAGCACTATTCAGATTATATTAGACAGTGGATCATTGTGGAGGTCAAAGACAAAATACAGATAACTACAGATAACAAACACAAATTAAAATACATTAACTATGCTAATATACTGTACATGCTCAGTTTTCCTCCCTATCTTTTAATAAACATACAATGACTCCATAAAGTATTACGAGTGTCTGCTCTTCGTCATGACAGTGGCTCCACATATGGAATCATAACTTGTCAGCGCTTTTGTATCTCTTTATTGCAGAATGACTTTAAACAACACAATGCAAGTGCTAAAAAAATACCACTATCAGGCCATTAAAAAGAGGCCAGTGCTTTCTTACAAGGTGTTAGAAGTAACATACAGTATATATACAGAAGTGTGTCATCTACTTCACTCATTTTGTATGCTGCTCACACTACTACCAGTCGAGGAGGGACAAGAATAAAGGAGGACAAGGAGGATGTCATTTCTTATTTGTCCCTTCTTTCGTCCTTGTGACTCAGTCTTGGTTTTCTGCCTGCTTCTCAGGCACTTGGTGCCTTTGGGTGGTATTTATAGGCCAATAGAGGGGAGGAGAAGGAGAAGGAAAGCTCATGGTGCTTCGTTCACAATTACATGGAAATTCCCAGCACGGTTACGCATTCTGTGTGCACTTAATCAGTTTCAGTCCCGCGGGAAAGTTGGAGTGTGACCGAGCAGATTATCATCTACCGCTTCCTCAGCAGACTGGACCATCCCGGCGGTCATTCTCCTTGCTGTGGCAGAAAAGGTACGATGTTGCACCAGTGTGCATTCTGGATCTGTGAACTCCATCAATAAGAAGTGGAACACAGATTACGTGACTGCTAGAGCTGCCAAGGACAGAAGCGCAGGCAAGCTGTCCCTATCTACATGTGACCAAACACACACACACACACACACACACACACACACACACACACACGCGCAAAACCGATTACTTTTGTGTGGATGCAGAAAGATTTGGGGGGAAAACACCCTGAATGATTCCGTTCCATCTTAGTCAGAAATTGGATACTCTAAACCTCATTATAGGTGTTATAATACACCATCTCCTGCATGTTTGACTTGTGTTGCAACTTCATTGTCCTTCAGTAGTATGGAGCATAGCATTTGACTTAAATCATAATAAATGGTTTCTAATGCAGGTGTATCTGTTTTTAACAGTTGAAATCTTTTGAAATGTGGTAGATCAGACCACAACCATTGATAATGTTAGTAAATATAATTTAAATTAAATATTCTTGCCCTTATGTGGCCTTAAGACTCACTATTAGGCTGTAGTATGTATGACTTGCTGGGATAAACACTTTTTTTTGCCCGAGGTACTACATCCTCTCCCAGCCACCTCAGCACCTTCCGCGACAGGGTGTCTGAGCCTAAGCAGGGCTGGGGTGTGCCTTGGGGTTGCTGAGTTCCATGCACTGTCAATTTCCTACAGAAAAATCCCCTCATTCCCACAGGCACCGGCTTGAGTCATGGCTTAAAAATTTTTAACTTTTGTTTGGCTGAATTACACCATGGCTCCACAAAACACCAAGGCTGAAAAGTGCTGTCTGAAGCATGGTCATTACCAGCAAAGCGCTGAACCCCTCAAGGGAGGGAGTGCGGTGGATGGAGCTATGTGATGGGTGGGGGGAGAGAGCAGAGCTGAGACGGACTCCAAATCTCTTTACTGCAACAGCATGATATCCTCCTCCCTTATCTGTCTGTGTGTCCACTGCTCTCAACACATGACTCATGTTCATGTCTTAAAAACACTTGTTGGAGTCATTTGAGTCCCGAGGAGAGCCTGATATCAACACACAGTACGAGATCAGTTTAAATTTGGATAAAGAGGGATTTCAAAGGACACCCACAAACATTTAGCAGCATAAATATTTTTGGATATTGCTGCGCAGTCCAATCACTGTAAGAGCTCTTATTTAGACAGTGAGGAAAAAGCCCGAGCAGGTTTTGACTGTACATTAATCTGGAAGAAATCCTCTGGTTACAGTCTAGGAAGTAGACTTACAGTGTCTAATCAGAGGTCTTTGGAAATAACTACTTCATATTTTATTGTTATTTGTAGAAGGGCCATATCCTCCTGCAATCTCATGTACACAATAACTATGCTGGATAGAGTTAGTGTAGTTGATAACAAGTTGCACCACATTCTCTTGCCCCTGATAACAGAAGTGCTATCGTCTTTATAGATACATAACACCAGAGAGGATTTTTTTTTGTTTGATTCTTTGGTCAACTTCAGACTTTTAGTGCTGGTGTGTGGCAGGCATGATTACTGACAAAGTTTTATCACACACACAAAGACAGCTAAAAGCCCCAAGATTTTTCTGGGTTCTCCCAGTACTGGCATGCCAAGAGAAACACTGAGGAGAGTTCAAGAACTTGGAATGCATTTCTGTGCTGGCTAATGGCTAACAAATTTGTTAGTGCACTAGGGAGAGGGAAGGAAAGCAGATGGAGCTGTCATTAAGAACAATGACCAGCAGCTGTCTGCCCTGTTCACCCAACACAGGCTGGGGCTATGTCTTGGAATCCACGTGAATGGTTTCCAGGGATGTGCAGTGCTGTATAGTGCCAGGAGCAGTGTTTTCATATTTTTGACTGAGAATTGCCTGTTTGTATGTTAAAAACTTCTGTATGAGGATGCAAAAGGTTAAAGCAGAATCTGATTTGGTTAGAGGTTAAGGATTTGAACTAGAGGCGAGCTTAATTTAAGACAAGGCGTTAGAGAATGAATGTTGTCATTGGAAGTGTGTTTGTGTAGCTACAGTGTGTTGTGAGTAAAATGGTAGATGAATAGATGCAGGAAGGAAGAAAGTGAGAGCAATCATATTTCATGTGCCGTATTCTTAGAAATACTGTGTACAAATACAAACGTAGCCACTGAAGTGCTAGTTTTTAGGTACTTGCTGCGCTGTTATCCTAAAGTACTAATGTTGGGCAGATGCAGGTCAACTGTGAATATGTTAAATTTGAATAACACATATACACCATATATATGTGATGAGAAGACAGCAGGCCTGTTCTTTCACTTTGCAATGGGAATGTCTCTCCTGATATCTGAGTGAGATTTCATGCTCATCTGCCTCCAGGCCAATCCGCCTTGCTGTCACTCTCTGCTTACTTTATTTCTCTTTTTCTCTCAGCTTACTGGGCTGTCAGCCCAGCCAAAGTCACATTAAGAGATAAGAGTGGGTGGAGAAGGGAGACCAAATACCAAATGCATTAGTGCTATTAATCAACATTAACAAATGTGAGGGAGAGAGCACAATTTTGGGAAAACACACGCAGGGATAGGCACATTTATCAAGGTGACACATTAAAACACGCATTTACCAAAAAATACCATAATGTTTCATCTGGTTTGTTGCCAAAGGCAGAAAACGAAGTACAACAGCAGATGTCAACATTTGTTGGATGGCCGGGAGTTGTACATTGGAGAAAACAAGCGAGCGGAGGCTGCTTAATTATAGAAAATGATCCAAACTTTTTTCTCATATTTACTAAAATCTGTGACTTGTATTTTTTCTCCAAAGGTTTTTCTTTCTTGGATATAAAAAAAAAAAATTAAAGAAATCTAACAGGCCTACATAGATGGTAAACTGAACTAAAAGCATTATGCTATGTAGAGTATATAGCTATGGCTGATAGCTGTATACCTCTGTACTGTATATCTATACAGTATATAGCTATCAGCCATATACCCATGCACTGTATAGATATACAGTACAGAGGTATGTGTTCTAAAATGCTCATCACTGTAATCAATGTGATGAATCTGTAAAATTACAGTTTGAAGCTTTATGTTTTCATGGTATGACACACAGAAGGGTACAAAGAGGGTGAGACTGCCTTACCTTTATTAGGATATAATATCCTACTGCAAACACTACAGTGAGTTTATAGAAGTATCTGTTTAGCATGTATCATACCATGACTGAGTAGGCCAAGATGAATGATAAACTATGAAAAACATCTTTATATTCTACTGAAGACAAAAAACACTGGCCCTGTTTCTGTGTGGCTAATATGAGAAGACTGAACCTGACCTACAGGACTGGACATTATCATCCAGTGAATGAATTTCATGACGTGTGACTCTGTGTCGTCAGTCTAGAGCTAAATCATAATCTGATCATGAGGTCAGTCATGAGGTCCATCCAATGGTCAAGTGTTTCATGAATATTCTAAGAGTCACACCCTTAAAAACACTTGAGTTTATAACCTGACAACTTTTCCTAATTACAACAATCCTGTCTGGTCTGTTCACAAGGACAGAACTGCTAGGAATGTCATATTTGTGTTGTAAACAAATCTGGATTTTGTCTTTTTTTCTGACTGCACCTGCACCTTTTTAGGCCATTTGACCGATTTGAGCACATTTAAAAAATGAGCCTGTCATATCACTTGACATTTTGTAATATCTGACTTGTACAGTCTTCACAACTGAAGCAGTCTAGGCATTGTGATGTATTTGCATAAGTATGGCCATGGTGATTCTTTTTATGAAGGTTTATCCATGATGACCTTGTTGTGTGAGCACTGAACAATGCCCGCCCTTTTGAAGATGCACTTCACAAAGATCAAGTGTGTGGCGCTGGCTGTCTGATGCATAGCCTGGGTTTGTCTTCAGTGGTCAGGACGCAAGACAAGGAGGAAGGGGCTGGTCAAAGGAGGGTTCGATTACAGTAGTGGAGTGATGATAAATGGCCCAGAAGTGTTAATAGTTTCAGTGGATAACTAAACAAAAATGGGAAAGTAATTTAACTACTTCCCGCGACCCCGCTTAGGACTGAGCGGTATAGAAGATGAATGGATGAATTTAACTACTTGAATCACTATGTAAATATGAACGAAGCAAACTACATGTATTGTAATTCACTGTTGCCCAACACTGCAGGTGACTAGACACTTCACATGAAGGATTTAAGGAAAGGACATCTGTTGTCTCTAAAAACATGTTTCCTCAATTCCTCACATTTTCTCCTTGCACTTTTTTCTCGTATGTTACGTGAGCGGGACTAAGATGCAAGTGAGGGAAGCATGGATGTACATAAGGAACCTGAGATGAAACTAACATAAAGTACCCACAAGGAATGAAAACAAACAAGTGTGATTGTAGAAAAATATAGTTACGACAGAAAAATGGATGGATATGTCTTTCAAAATGAGTAATTTTGTATTCATTATTAGCAAACTCTCTTTGAAACCAGTGGCACTAATATCAAGGCCCAGTGTAAGAGTGAAATGGGGGCCAACAGTCATCAAAAAAGACAAATATGCTTTTCCCATCAGAGTCTTTATAACCTCTCTGAATGAATGATACAGGAGGTATTCATCTCTCCATTACGACTAGTCGGAAAGCAGAAGCTGCTCCGCAAATCAGATGTCAGGTAAAAGTGAAAACAGGATGTCAACACAAGGCCTGTTAGTGGTTTTCATGTTTAATAATTCATCTGAAAGCTTAAAAGGAGTCATAGTTTGTGGGAAATCAAATTCTATCCCTTTAGTTTTTTTAAATTATTATTTTTAGTTAACAATAAGGTGTTCAGGTCTTTAATATGAGACACCAGAACCACCAGATGACCTTAGTGTTTGTGCTTTTTCAGTTCATGAATAGCAAAACAGGCTATCCTCTTCTATCATCTTCCAGAAAGCTCTATTAAGGAAAACAAGTTTTAACGAGTGTCAAAGTAATGCTTGTTTTAATGCCCATTTAGGTACACACGCTCCAACCTTGGTGTCCATATTGTGATCCTTGAGGTCCATAAGGGCCTGTGGGGCTGCTTTGGGAATAGGGACCCATCCCGGGATATAACGGGCCCCCATGTGAAGGGTGTGGGGACATAGGAGTCCCAGACTGTGGAGAGGCAAACTGGGAGCCAGTGTGGTTCCTCTGCATGGTGGACATGAACCCTGAAACACACAAATACATATAAAAATCTGTGTCAGCTCTTGGCTTATAAAATGAGACTAATTTAATTGTGAAGGTACCTTCTCAGTAAAATCAAATGTAGACTAGGGGATAGAGCAAGGGTAAGTGTGATCATACTCTGGCTCAGCAAATCAACATATCTCTTTATGAGACCCTTCCTTTTCATGCAAGCCATATGTTTTACCTTGGCAATGGCTCCTGTTACTCGTAGATTTTTGTCAATGAGAAACAGAGCATGGACCGGGTATTAGATAAAACATACACAAAAAGGACAGGCTGATGTGGAAAAAGAACCCTGAGTACAAATAAACAAACAGAAGGAACATGTATCGAACTTTATCAGTAGCAAAGGCACAGGCCAAGTGTTTGTCTGACCTGAAACACATACTGTATGTGCTGTAGCTGCAAATCCGAGTCTATGTGAGTTTGCGTGTATATGTGAAACCGTATGATTCATTCTCTACTGAATAAGCTGGTGATTAGACTAAAGCTACCATGGTATTCTAAGCTGTTTTGTCAATAGATATGTCAAAGCCTCTCAGGCCTAAACTAGCTTCCACCATTCAAACTGACATTTGGAGCAATCCTCGGCTGGGCTCTGCTCTTTCAAGTTGCCTCGTTCGTTTTTAAAACCCTCAGAAATGTCTCCCAATCCACCATGGAGAAAGGTTGCTGGACAACCATTGAATGAAAAAGAGAGGGTGTGTGTGTGTGTATGTGTGTGTGTGGGGGGACTCAGTACTGCAGATTAGGTGTAAATGGATTGGGGCCACTCGACTGTAAATTTTGATAGCTATCTGCTGTGTTGTATGACCATGCACAGACCATCTCTTTAGTGACTTTGGGGTTTAGGGAAACAACAGAGCTGGAAAGTGCAAGTTGACACTTGTATAATTCCTTGTTTCTGCTAAAAGACTAAAAGAAAATGTCAGGGTAGAGGTATGACATAAAAATTTAAAATGCAATGTGTGTGTACTCTCATATGCTTGTGTGCACATACATGCATGTCCATATTTGTGATTCTGAGTGTGTGGGGGGAAGATATCAGAAAGAGAGCAATAAATGCTTTATATGAGTGTGTGTTTGTGTGTATGGGAAAAAAACAGAGGCCAAGACAGAAAGAGCA